GCAGGGAATAGAGGGATATGTATTATGTAGAGGCAAAAGGCTTTTAGATTAGAAAGGTGTCATGTATTGACAGGGGCTTGTTAGGCTGAATGGCCTGTTCCTGTGCTGTACTGTTCCTTGTTCCTTTGTTCTTCTCTTAACAGTTTTGGGACCTTTCTCGAAGGAAAGATATACTGGCGTTGGAAGCAGTTCAGAGAAAGCTCAGGAGGCTGATATCACGGTTGGTTGGACTACCTTATAAGGAAAGGTTCAACCTGTACTCATTGGAATTTAGAAGAGTGACAGGCAACTTTATTTAAACATACAAGATTCTTAGGGTCAAAAACAGAAGTTGCTGGAAAAGCTCACCAGGTCTGGCAGGATCTGTGAAGAGAAATCAGTTAACATTTCAGGTCCAGTGATCCTTCCTCAGAACTCAATTTCTTCTCTGAGGGTGGTGAATCTGTGGAACTCTTATCATAGAAGGCTGTTGAGGCTCTGACAGAATAGACAAATTTTTAATCTGTAAGGGAAATCAAGGGTTAGAGGGAAAAGACAGGAAAATGGAGTTGAAGATTATCAGTGACAGGCAGAACAATTTGATAGGCTGAAGGGCCTACCTCTGCTCCTATGTCTTATGGTCTCAATACAGTTCATAGATCATAGAATCCCTACAGTGTGGAAACAGGCCCTTTGGCCCAACAAGTCCACATCGACCCTCAGAGCATCCCACTCTGACACATCCCCCTATAAGCCCACCTAATCTACACATCCCTGAACGCTATGGGCAATTTAGCATGGCCAATTCACCTAGCCTGCATATCTTTGGACTGTGGGAGGAAACCCACGCAGATATGGGGAGAATGTGCAAACTCCACACAGTCGCCCAAGGGTGGAATTGAACCTGGGTTTCTGGCTCTGTGAGGCAACAGTGCTAACCACTGAGCCACCATGCCACCCCAAAGAGTACAGTTCAAAAATTCACTGTGAAAGTATTTAAAATCCAAGAGAATTAGTCAAATAGATTACAGATGAGTGGGCAGGTGATGTGTTGCAGATGTAATATGTACGACCTGCAGGACACTGGTGCAATAAATAGTGACCACATCTGCAGTAAGTACTGGCTGCTCGAGGAATTTCAGCTCAGACTTAACAAGCTGGAATCTGAGTTGCAGACACTGCAACATATCAGGGAGGAGGAGAGTCACCTGGACACTGCTTAAAAGATAGTCATACTCTTTAGATTAAATACATCAAATTTGGTCCATGGTCAGGGGCAGGGATGTGATTGTAACTGAGACAGCTATTGGGATCCACAACTTAGCTTTGGGGGAGCCTTAGCTAGTGTCTTTATTCAGTAGGCAAGAGGTTCTTCTTCGTAATGTGGACAAGAACACAAACTGCAGAGAGGCTGAGCAAACTGATCAGAGCACTGTGGTACAGAGAACCAGTCAAGTGCAGAAAAGAGAAATGTTGGTTAACTGGTTAAATGGCTTATCCCATTACAAGACTCCTTCTTTTTCACTGGAATACGCCTTTGCTGAGAGCTATGAGCTATTTTCTGAAAAGACTACCATTGTTCCTCAAATGTTATTGCTGAGAAATGCTTTTCCAAGTCCATTCCAGTAGCTCTGCATTCATTCATTTATAATTACTCTTAGATAGGTTAAGCAGAGTTTCTCACTTTCAAACTAAATGCTATCTAAATTCTATCATGTTATGGTCTCTTTTATTTGAAGATCATTCGAAGATCAATTCAAAGATTTTGGCAGCACAGTGGCCCAGTGGTTAGCACTGCTGCCTCACAATGCCAGGGACTGGGGTTCAATTCCAGCCTTGGGTGACTGTCTGTGTAGAGTTTGCACATTCTCCGTGTCTGCGTGGGTTTCCTCCGGGTGCTCTGGTTTCCTCCCACAGTCCAAAGACGTGCAGGTTAGGTGGATTGGCCATGCTAAATTGTCCATTGTGCCCAGTGATGTTAGGTTAGGTAGGTTAGACGTGGGGAATGGATCTGGGTGGGATGCTCTTCAGAGGGGCAGTGTGGACTTGTTGGGCTGAATGGCCTGTTTCCACACTGTAGGGATTCTATGATGATCAGCTTTTAAACCTTCCACATTACACATTGTGAAATCCAAATAGCCTGATTCCTGGTTGGATACACAACATATTCTTGTAGGAAACAAAAAGAAAACAAAGAGTTGCAGATCTGAAATATAAATAGTAATTATTGGAGAAACTTAGCAGGTCTGGCATGATCCATGGAGTTAAAGTATTAATATTTCAGGTTCAGGGACCCTTCTTTTGAAATAACCGTAGTTAGGAAAGGGTTATTATATATGCTGAAGATGGAAATGGGGAGAGGTGGAGATGGAGCCAGAGAGAGAGAGAGAGAGAGACAAAGCAGTTGACAGACAAAGTAATGGCTAATGGTTAGCCAGGAGAATCAATGGCTGTTAATGGGGACAATCAGTAGCTGACAATGGGCTGGTTGTGGTAGCAGCCCACGTGATGCCAAGGTCCTGGTGGGGGGAAAGATGAAAAAAGGAGTTTCTCAGGTGCTAAAGTTATTGATCTCGATATTGAGTCCTGAAAGCTGCAGGGTCACTAAAGCAAAAAATGAGATGCTGTTCTTCCAGAACACCGAACACTACAGTAAGCCTGAAAGAGATATTCGCTAGGGAAACGCATGGTGTGTTGAAGTGGAAGGCAGTTGGAAGTTCAGGGTCATTTTGTGAACAGAACATACATGGTCTAAGAACTAATCACCAAGTCTGCGTTTAATCTCCCTAATGTACTTGAGACCATATTATCAGCAGCGAATACAGAAAACTAAATTCAGTAATGTTTATGTTAAATTGCTGCTTCAGCTGGAAAGTGTGCCTAGGGTCTTGGATAATGAGGAGGGAGGAAGTAAATGGGGATGTGTTACACCTTCTGTGATTGCATGGGAAGGTGGCGTGGGTAGGCATTGGGCGTTGAGTTCGAGTGGGCCAAAGTATTCCGTAGGAACGGTCTTTGCGGAAGGTTGACAGGGAGGGGAGGTGATGGTAAACCAGTGCCACTAACACACGGCATCAACTTGTAACTCGCATATAAACGTTTTGAAGATGAACTGGTATTATTAGAATAAACAAGTCCTACCTCTAGTCTAATAAGACCACGAAAAAAAAATCCAATATATATTATACGCAAAAACAGGAGGATTTATTACCCTCAACACTCGGAATGCAGAGAAAACTGGCGCGAACATGCATCAATCAAAGCGCATGCGCCGACCGGGGAGGCATCGGTGTACTGAGCGCATGCGCTTGAAGTGCGGGCCAGTGACAAACGCACGTGCGTCTCATTTGCCGGGAGCGAAAAGGAAGGTCAGCGCATGCGCCTGAACAACAGGCGTGAAGTCAGGGTGGAGGGGATGGGATCATGGTATACGCATGCGCCAGATTGGGGACGGGGCGCCGCTGTGAGCACGTGCGTTAACAATAAATTAGCTACTGCCGACACTGGAAACCTGAAATAAAAAGTTCAGCAGGCCTTGGCAGCCTCTGCAGAGGGATTACAGAAGAGCTAGTTTTTCGAGTCCAGTCTTACTCTTCACGACAGTGGTTGCAGAGTTGCTCCAGAAAGTTCGGGTTTATGTGAGGGGAACGGGCGAGAAGGCTGGGGTTGTGCAGTGGCGAAGGGGAGCGGCTGGTGTGGGGTTGGCACCGGGATAATGGAGTTCGGAGATTGGGGCTAGGTGATTGTGGAGGGGATTGGGGTGCTGTTGAGATTGGAAAAGGTGATGTGGGTGTTGGTGGAGGGAGTTTGGAGAGGGCTGTCGGAGGGGTTATGGGCGTTGAGGTTTGGGTATGGTTCTTGGGACTGGGGAAGGACGTGTTGGTGTTGAGATTTGGGGTCTAGTGTTAGGAGTAGAGAGGGGGTGTGGTTGTTGAGGTTTTGGGGATGGATGTTGGGATTAGACAAGGGGGTAAGGGTGTTGAGGTCTGGGAGACGGGTATTGGATTGAATAAGGGGGAGAGGGTGTTGAGGTCTAGTGGTTGTGTGGGTGCTGAAGTTTGGGGGATGATGTTGGATTGGGAAGGGGGTATGGGTGTTGAGGTCTGGGGGACAGGTATTTGATTGGAGAAGGGGGAATGATATTGAGGTCTGGGGGTCGGGTGTGGGGATTTGGGAAAGGGGTGTAGGTGTTGATGTCTGGGGGATGACTGGGATTTGGAGAAGGTGGTGTGGTTGTTGTGGTTCAGTGTGAGGATTTGGATACTGGGTGTTGAGGTCTGGGGATCGGCTGTGGGGATTTGGGGAAGGAGGTGTGGGTGTGGAGGTCTGGTGTGGGGATTTGGGAAAGGGTGTGTGGGTGTTGAGGTCTGGGGTTCGGGTGTTGGGATTTGGGGAAATGGTGTGGGTGTTGAGGCCTGGGGGTTGGGATATGGGTAAGGGGATGTGGGTATTGAGGTCTGAGGGTCGGGTGTTGGATTGGAGAAGGGGGAGTGGCTGTTGAGATCTAAGGGTCGGTGTGGGAATTTGGGGAAGGGTGTGTGGGTGTTGAGATCTTGGATTTGGGTGTTGGGATTTGGGTAAGGGGATGTAGGTGTTGAGGTCTTGGGTTTGGGTGTTGGGATTTGGGTAAGGGGATGTAGGTGTTGAGGTCTTGGGGTCGGGTGTTGAGGAAGAGGATGTGGGTGTTGAGTTCTGGCGGTCGAGTGTGGAATGCGTTTAGGGAACCTGCATTCAACGTGCTCGCTGGACGGGAAAGGCGCGCGAAGGTCGTGTTTCGCGGTTTGTTGGGGGTGAGGGGCAGTCTGTGGAGGGGCGGGGCTTTAGGGGGAGGGACAAAGTTGGTTGTGGCCTATTTTGGAGGGGGTGGTGACAGTTTGGGGGCGGGGCCGTGTGGGGGTCTGGCAGTGGAGAGGTCGGGCAATGTGGGGGCCTGCTTATGGGTGGGGCAGTGTAGGGGCGGTGCAGTGTTGAGGAAGAACGGTTTGGGGGCGGGGCCGGGGCGGCGGGGGGGAGGGGCAGTGTCGGTTGGGCTGCGCTTTGTTTTGCTTTGTTGAAGCGCGAGGTTGTCCGCTGAGTGTGACCGCGCAAGCGCGAAGCCCCTTTGGTAACGGCTGCCCGGCGGACAAAAATAAACAGGCGGCGTCGAGGCGGTTTGACCGGAGGCTGAGGCGGCCGCGTGTGTGAGGCTTCAAATTGATCCCACCCCACCCTCACCGCCGCTGACTGAACAAAAAAAACCCAGCAAACTGGCGAGGCTTTGAAACTCCGTTCCGCCCTCGTGAGTTAACCGTAACGTGTTGTTTTTAATTGGGAGGAAGGACAGCGGATTCTAGCGGCGGGGAGAGAGAGCGAGGACGGTCTCCGCCGCCCCTCGGACCGCGGAGACATGCACTCGACCTGCCAGAGGCCGGTGGCCAGCTACCCCGACAAAACCGGTGAGCAGGTGGAGAAGGAGTTGCATGATGGCCTGGAGGATGGCAAGGAGCGCTTTAAAGATCTCAATGATCGCTTCGCCAAGTACATCAACAACACCATCCTTAGTCTCATGCGCAAAAACAAGGACCTGCTGGCCGAGCTCAAGCTGGCCGAGAAGGAGGAGAACTGCCGCGTCGAGGCCATCTTCCAAAAGGCCAGGTGTGACCTGAAGCTCCGGCTGGAGGAGCAGCAGAAGGAGCTCAACTGTCTCAAAGCAGATAAGGACAAGTACAAGAAGAGGTCGGTGAGCCCTGGCTAGGAACAGACAAGGTTCTGGGGAGGGGTCTGGTCGAGATAGTGGGTGATGGGTAGCCCAGATGAATATCCTGGTGCCAACAAAAGTTTCTAATCCAGCAGCCACTGACCCTTCAAAAGTCAATCCTAACCACTGACCCTTCACACCAACTCATTCATAACTACTGACCATTCATGCCATTTCAACTCTCTCTGACCCTAACCACTGATCCTTCACCCCACATCAAAACACTATCACTGACTCTTTTCCCCAACTCAATCCTAACCACTAGGTCTCCACTCAATGCATAACCTGGCTGACATTTGCAGTGTGCTACAGAGGGAGTGTTGGGAGATGTCACCCTCCTGGATGAAATGGTAAACTGAGGTCACCTGACGAGAAGAGTCTTGTGGCACTGTTTCAAAAACAGTTGATGTGTTATATCCTGTGTTCTGGTCAATATTTATGCTTTCATCAGCATCATTTATCTCTAGTCATTGTCATTTTGATGCCTGTGGGAGTTTTGTGTGTGTGCGTTCACTGTCATGTTTCCTAAATCACAACAGTGATTATATTTCAAAAAAATGTTTACTTGCTTGCAAAGTGCGTTGATACTACAGTGGTCATGAGTCTTTCTTCAGCTAACCCCAAACCACTGATCTAACTCCTTACCATTGAATCACAACTTCTAACGTTAGCCATTGACAAAACCTTTTAATCACATTCTCCTAAACTTAACCACAACTCCTAAGCCTAACACCCATAATTTATCTGGAACTCCTAACCATAGAACTCCCTAATCCTGAAATAGTAATTTATGATCTGAACCTAAATAATAAATCTTTAAACACAGGTTCAGTAGGAAACACAGAGCTGACAATAGTATCAGTAGTGATTGTGACATCAAGAATGATGCAAGTTATTAAAGTGATAATGATTAAAATTTGCATTTAATGTGGGGCAGTCTTAGTTAAAGATATGGATTAGATTGTTTGTTCATAGAACCCCACAGCACAGTAGAGGCCATCAGTCCATCAATTTGGAGCCCAGCTCCATTTAATTTTGTTCTTTGTTGGAAGTGTAAATTGTTTGCAAAGTCATCAAGGAATTTGGTGAAATCACAGTCGTTTTAACCAATGACATTCCAGTATTTGAATGCTTAACAAAGCTTTGAAATAGCAGCTCGGATATCTAACAATTTAAACAAAGTTTCCTAAAATATCACAATTTCATACAGACAAAATACAGCTCTAAGTTTTTTGCCATTGAAATGTGACAGGCAAACATACGGAAAAGTGACTATGAGCCCATGCTTCAGATTGAAAATATCTTTAATTCACATGTTCTGGAATCGGTGTAATATGTGAACCCAAAACGATAGTGGGATAAGTCATAAAATGGAGAAATTAACATGAACTTTACTCCAAAATAGAACCAGCAACAAAAAGAAAGGGTGAAGCATTATAAAGGAGATGTGTAAGATGGATGGGAGAAACAAATAACATCAAAATGAAGGCAGTTCAAATATAGAAGGCATAGGATATTTAAGACAGATTAGGAGTTTTGATCTCTTTCAATTTAGGGCTATAAGGAGCGGGTGAGAAAATATGAGGGAAATGTGTGACAATCTAAGATAAGTTTGGAGTGTAAAAGATTGGAAGAGAAAGCAGTCTGGAATAGAGAGGTGGCAGTATTTATCAAAGATACTTTTACAATGCTAGAAAGAAGTAAAGGAATCTACCCCCAAAGCTGTCAGTGGCAAGGAGTTCCAAAGACTCTCAAATATCTGAAAGAAGAAATTCCTTCTCATCCCAGCCATAAATTGGCACCTGTTTATACCCTCTACTCCCAGCCTCTCCGATGAGGGGAAACATCCTCTCAGCATTTACCCTGTCAAGCCCTTTAAGATTCCTATATATTTCAGTGAGATTGCCTCTCATTCTTCTAGACACCAGTGAACAGAGTCCCTTCCTGTTTAATCTTGGCTAAAAAGATAATCCCTTCATACAAGGGATCATCCTAGTGTGCCTTCTCTGAACTGTCTCTAATGAAATGATATTTTACCTTTAAATAAGGATACTAAAACTGCTCAATACTTCAGACGTGGTCTCTCCAGCACCCTGTACAGTCGCAGTAAGACTTCCTTACTCGTATCCTTCAATCCCTTTGAAATAAGGGCCATCATTCCATTTCCATCCTGATTACCTGCTGTACTTGTGTACTAGCTTTCTGTGTTTGGTGCACAAGTGCCCCAAGTCCCTTTGTGTCAGCATTTTCTGCAATTTTTCTCCATTGAAATAATATACTGTTCTTTTGTTCTCCCTTCCAAAAGAAACAACTTCACATTTTCCCACATTATTCTCCATTTGCTAACTTTCAGTCCATCTAGTTAACCTGTAGATATCTCTGTAAACTCAATAGTATCCCTCTCACAACCTGCTTTCGACATATTTTCGTGTGGTCTGCAAATTTGCCCACAGTACATTCACTTTCTTTCTCCACGCCATTAACATATGTTGTAAACAGTTGTGGCCGTAGCACAGATCCCTGTGGAACCCCACTGGTTATGGATCAGTAATCTGAAAAGTGCGACTTATATCCATTTGCTGTTTCTTACCCATGAGCCAATGCACTGTCCACACCAGTATACTAACTCCAACACAGTGAGCACTTTATAAAAATTTACTCCTGGGAGTCGCTGGCTATGAGCATTTATTGCCTGTCCCTAGTTGCCCTTGAGAAGGTCATAATAATTTGCCTTCTTGAATAGCTGCAGTACACCTGCTCTTAGATGGCCCACACTGCCCTTAGGAAGGGAATTCCAGGATTTTGACCCAGTGACAGTGAAGACATGGCGACATATTTCCAAGTCAAGATGATGAGTAGCTTGGAGAGCAACTTTCAGGGGGTGGTGTTCCTATGTATCTACTGTCCTTATCCTTCTAGATGGAAGTGGCTGTGGGTTTGTAATCACGTGTGCATGTTTGCCTTCATTGGTCAGACCTTTGAGCATAGGAGTTGGGACGTCATGTTGAGGTTGTACAGGACTTTAGCGAGGCCTCTTCTGGAGTACTGTGTGCAGTAGTGGTTGTTCTGTTACAGGAAGGATATTACTGAACTGGAGTCGGTTCAGAAAAGATTTACCAGGATGTTGCTGGAATGGAACGTGTGAGATTTAAAAATAGACTGGAAAGGCTGCGACCTTTTTCACTGGAGTGTAGGAGGTTGAGAGATGACCGTATAGAGGTTTATAAAATCATGTGGGGCATAGATAAGGGTCTTTTCCTTAGGATGGTGGAGTTCAAAACTAGAGGGCATATTTTTAAGATGAGAAGAGAAAGATTTAAAAGGGACCTGAGAGGCAATTTTTTTTATACTCAGAGTGGTTCATGCCTGGAATGAACTGCCTGAGAAAGTGGTGGGTGCAGGTACAGTTACAATGTTTAAAAGACATTTGGATTAGTTCATGAATAGGAAAGGTTTAGAAGGATATGGGCCAAGCGCAGGTAGGTGGGACTAGTTTAGTTTGGGAACATGGTCAGCCGGGACTGATTCGACTGAAATGTTTGTTTCCATGCTGTATGATTCTATGGTTCTAGTCCTGTTTGGTATCTTCACCAGGTTGACACCTCACTATCACTTACTTATGACTTAAATTTTTGTGAGTTACTTTGTTGAACCCTTTTCTGGAAGTCCATATATAACGCGTCTACTGGTTTCCCCCTATACACGCTGGTTGAGAGTTTCTGTACTAAATTAATCAGACATGATTTCCCTTTCATGGAAACTGCTGACTCTGCTTGATCAGATTATGAATTTCCAAATGTTCTGCTATTGCTATCTTATTTAATTGATTCAAATAATTTTCCAACAATAGATGTTAGGCTAATTTGGCCTATAGTTACTCGTGCTTTTTGCCTCCCTCCCCTTTCGAATAGAGTTGTCACATTAGCAGTGTTTGAGTTCTCTGGTACTTCTCCAGTATCCAACCATTTTTGGAAAATTACAACCAATGATTCCACTATCTCTTTAGCTACTTCTTTTAGGATCTTAGGATGTAAGCCATCAAGGGCCAGAGGAGTCACTGCATTGAGTATAGGTGTTGAGAGGTCATGTGATGGCTGTACAGGACATTGGTTAGACCACTTTGGCAGGAAGGATGTTGTGAAACTTGAAAGGGATCAGAAAAGATTTACAAGAATGTTGCCAGTGTTGGAGGGTTTGAGCTTTAGGGAAAGGCTGAATGAGCTGGAGCTATTTTCCTTGCAGGCTGTGGGGTGACTTTATAGAAGTTTATAAAATCATGAGGGGCATGGATAGGGTGAATAGGCAAGGTCTTTTCCCCGGGGTGGTGAAGCCCAAAACTAAAGGTTAGAGGTTTAAGGTGAGAGGGGGAAAGGTTTAAAATGGACGTAAGGGGCAACTTTTTCACGCAGAGGGTGGTGCATGTATGGAATGAACTGCCTAGGGTAGTGTTGGAGGCTGGTACAATTACAACATTTAAAATACATCTGGATGGGTACATGAATAGGAAGGGTTCAGAGGGATATGGGCCAAATGCTGGCAAATGATATTAGATTAATTTAGGATATCTGGTCAGCATAGATGAGGTGGACCGAAGCTGTACAACGCTGTGACTCTATGACTGATCTGCCTTTAGTCCAACCAGTTTGTTTAGTACTACTTCTTTCTTCACAGTGAGGGTACTCAATTCCTCCCCTGTATTCTTTAGCATTACTGAGATGTGCAAAGTATCTTCCACCATAAAGACTGAAACAAAATATCTGTTTAACTCTTCTTCCATTTCCTTGTTCCCCAAAACTGTCTCCCCACATTCATTTTCTGAGGGGGCCCATGTCCACTGTGACCTCTTCCTTTTTATAGATTTAAAGAAGCTCTTCTTGTGAGTTTTTATATTCCTTGACAGTTTGCCCTCATATTTGATTTTCTCTGTCATTATTCTCCTTTAGTCCCCTTTGCTGGATTCGGAATTTAACCCAGTCTT